TGTTGCATAAATGAAATATAGACTTCATTGTATTGCTAGCGCTCAGTTTTTCCTTCTGTTAGTCAGTGGGTTAGTCATAAAAGTCAGGCATCAAGGGTAATGTCCCAAAAGTATAGGCACAGTACTCCCACTTCTTTATCGGCCCTTCAGATACCCTCTGCTATTGCCTTTTTAAGGTAAAGCTATAAACTGTGATGATATGTAGGCCTAAGTTAAAATATGTATCTAAGTTATACGTTAGAGCAGATGAGACCCCAAACCTCTCATATTTAAAGCTGAAATGTTATGAAAGTGGCAGATGTAGGAATGAAGTCAAATTAATTATATTAAATTCAATAATAGTTTATTGTGCTTGAATAGGTCTGCAAGACTACTAGCTTTATTGTTTCAATTATTTCTTTAAATATTTGAATATGATATTATACTATGTACTGCTAGAATATTTCTGATAATATTATTACATATTATACACCACAATTTGGGATCAGTAAGATTTTTAAAGAAGAAATTAATACTTTTATTCAGCAGCGATGCATTAAAATAATTAAAAGTGACACTAAAGACATTTACAGTATAATGTTTCACAATATTTCTAATTTGAAATAAATGCTGTTCTTTTGAACTTTCTATTCATCAAAGAATCCTGAGAAAACCCTGTATATACATAAAAATATTAAACAGCAACATTGTGTTCTATTTTTTACTTTTACAGTTATAAATGTTCCTTGAGCAGAAATCATTCTAATGGTGTGTGCACACTAAAAGCGAAGCAAATATTTGAGGCGAACATTGCGCGTTCGAGGCGAAGGCGTCACCCAATTCGTGTCATTCACTTTGCCAGGCGCAAATTTGTGTCTTTTCAATGGTAGTGTTAATGATAGGGTTATTAATTATCTTTATGTTAAATTACATGTGCTTGTTTTAAATAATATTCATGAGCTAAGCCTTTGCCATGTTGTGATGTTACAGCCAACACATCTGTGCACCTCCCACCCTCAAACGGTTCCCAACAAACGGTGACGCAGATGGAGAGATCACGCACTCGGGTGTGAAGTGTGAGGAAGTTTAGCACCCACGTGAAGCTTTCAGGGGAACTTTGAAAAAGACCCAAGTAGAGCAAAGCTGTGAGGTTGTTTTCTATTAACTTCTGGCACATTCTGGTGGAAGAAGTCTCATATTTTGACAAAAGAGATGAGAGGCGGGCTAAATGAGAAACTATTTTACTCAATTGTTGTGACTTTTGGTGATTTCAACCATATTAAACCAAATTTCAACCATATTAAACCAAATCCGCAGGGCTCAACCCAGCTTACATGCCTTACGGTCCCTGATTGTTGTCCAAAACCGTCAGTTTCATCCAGAATGTTGATCCATATTCACATTATTGCCATTCTCCACATTCCTCTGAGTGACAATACAGAGGCTCACATACGCTTGGAATTACACGTCGTCCAATCAGGAGAGAAACTGACGCACCAGTTGGCAAAGTTGATCGTGCAAATCATTCCATCAGCATGAGTGTTTTCTGCTTAATTATGAACACATGTCACTCAGTCTCTCTGAATAGACCTGATGTGTGATTACACAACCTGCTGCCATCTGATAGGCCGTTACACAACCTGCTGCCATCTGAAAGGCTGGTGAGTATGATGTCATAGCAGCTGCCAAATACCCCAAGCACCCCCCCAAAAATCGAAGGTTACGTAACATCTAGCCAACGTTTAACCCCTGCGATGAGTACAGTTCTTAGTGGCTATAAAAGTTATAACTCAAGGACTTCTTTCAAACCTGTACAAGCTTGTGGTTTGTTTATCATAAAAGCTTCTGCTTAATCACCTACCTGTGTTTTTGCATGTATTTTAAGTGGAATTTCGCTCTCTCTGTATTGAAAGGGAGCTCCTCCAATACTGCGTGCTCTTTTGCAAGCCCTTTGTTGTTAATAAAGTGTTGGAGTGCTTTCACACTTCTCTGGCAAGTGCAGAGCGCTGCAGGGCAGGGGGGAGCCACAAACACCAAGCCAACCCCATCTGTGTTCATTTGACTGGTGAGAGAGAAAGAGACTTGCTGATGGAGCTGTAAAAATTACCTGCTTTTTTTAGTAATGAGATTTTGGCCTAGAGAGAGAGAGTAGGACGGCAGTAGACTCTGAAAGAGAAGCTAAAACGAATGAAAGTGAGAAACTTTGGGGGGCGCAGAGAAGAACCGCACCCATAGCTGCTCCTCTCCTCTCATCACACAGTCTGTCTGTCTTGTCCCTGTCAGTATGGCTCAAACTTTCCATTTACTCGCACTTAGACTGACTTTTGGCTTGTGGAATATTGTATTCTGGCACAGAACGGACCACAAAATTTTACTTCGAAATTGCTAATTAATTGGTGTATTTTTTTTTTCAATCTCCACTTGTGGCTTTGCAGAAAACCCTGAAAAATAGAGGAAAATGTGTTAAAAAATTAAATGATGTGATGTTAAAGGGTTAGTTCACCCAAAAATGAAAATTAGGCTGTGTTTTACTCACCCCCGAGGCATCCTAGGTGTATATGACTTTCTTCTTTCAGACGAATCCAGTCGGAGTTATATTAAAAATTGTCTTTGATCTTTCAAGCTCTATCATTTCAGTCAGCGGGTGTTGCATTGCTTCAGTCCAAAAGACCTGAAATAAAAAGCATCCTTCCATAAAAAAAGTGTCTCACACGGCTCCGGGGGGTGAACAAAGGCCTCCTGTAGCGAATCGATGTGTTTTTGTAAGAAAAATATCCATATTCAAAACGTAATAATCACTTTAATGTAGCTTGCGCCAACAGTTGTACACAGAAGCAGGTTGAGGTCAGCGGTGCACATGCGCCGGTGAGTCTCGTGAAAACCAACGTTTTTTAACAGGAGCAAAGGAAGCAAAGTTTCCTTACTTTAGCAAAGGAAAACCAGTCTCCTCTTGGCTTATATCGAAATCCTCTGACATTCTTCTTTACAAATCCTCGTTTTGTACTTCTAATTAGTGACCATTGTTTTGTTTTGATCTCTCCGCTGCGTTTACGTGTTGGTCACTTCTGAGTGGCGCATGCGCAAAGCCGACCTCCGTACGTCATCCGCCCGGAACTCCTTCTGTTTACAACAGTGAGCGCAAGCTAGATTCAAGTGATTATTACGTTTTGAATATGGATATTTTTCTTACAAAAACGCATTGATTCGCTACAGGAGGCCTTTGTTCACCCCCCGGAGCCGTGTGAGACACTTTTTTTTATGGAAGGATGCTTTTTATTTCAGGTCTTTTGGACTGAAGCAATGCAACACCCGCTGACTGAAATGATAGAGTTTGAAAGATCAAAGAGAATTTTTGATATAACTCCGACTGGATTCGTCTGAAAGAAGAATGTCATATGCGCCTAGGATGCCTCGGGGGTGAGTAAAACGCAGCCTTTCATTTTTTTTCATTTTTGGGTGAACTAACCCTTTAATATTGCAACCTACTTAAACTATTAAAATCTGTGGTGTCCTTGAAATTATACTGATAACCACAATAACACAACAATGTAACTGTTGAATAAAATAACTATTTAAATAAAATCTAAAATCAAATGTGATTGTATCATGCAGGAACTTCTGGGAGCATTCAGGAATTTATTTTATTTTAATTTTTTTTACTGTATAAATTATTAGTATTTAACTATAAAGTCTTATCTTTATAAAATATAAATAAGTTTGTTTCCCATATAAAAAAAAACATGTAAAAATACTAGAAGGTGTGTGTGAACTTCCCTCTCTGAAACTCTTAGACATCCTTTACGCCATTTTTTTTTCAGCCATACGAGTAGTGCAAAATGTAAAAAAAAATTTAAAAAAGGAAGCACCAGGTTTGTATCTCCTAACACCCCATGCAAGTACTCAGTCAGACTGTTCTTTCCTTTTAGATGTTAATGTTTTGTTCCGTTCCCTTCAGACAACAACACACTTTGCCACTTTCAGTTAAACCACCATTTTATTAGGTAAACCATCTTCTTAAATTAATTAAGTTCATAGCCATGTGCAGGCAAGAGAGGTTTGGAAAATGCTACAAACTATGTTTATTCTGACCAAATAATTTGTTGTGACTGTTAAGAGTCCTATCAGTCAGAGTTATTATAGTTACAACTAAAATTTAAATAAAAAATATAATAAACATTAACTTAATATAAAATATTTTAAAACTTAAACTTACTGCTGTTATATAGTTGTCAACACTACATTTCTTATTTTCTAGCTTAATGTGCTAGAATAATCAAAAATAAAACAGAAATAAATAATTAATAAAAACGATATACATATATTTTAAAATAAACACCAACTAATATAAATAACAACACAAAACAAAATTACCAAAACTTTAACTAAAATTTAAATAAAACCACAAAATATAAATAATTCAAATTAATAAAAACTGTAATTGTATCTTAATCCAAAATAACACTGCATGAGAAACTGACTAAATTTCACTTGTCATCCTGAGTGTAATGTTATCTTTATTTCTATCTGCTGTCAAACACAACTGGTTCAAATTTTGAATGTTCAGAGTTAGTATGTTCTTCCGATTCTCTCAATTCTTTCCTCTCTTAAATAACCACCAGTTAGACTGGATGATGTCCTGGAGGTAGTTTCCAAGCTGTTTCCGAAACATAATTTATCTACTCTGCCAGCTTGTTTCCATTCCTGTCTGGAATATGGGTCTGTACTTTACTCCATCCCGATATAGTCATGTCATAGATGTTCTGAGAGTCTGACTATTGAAAAGAGATGAAAAGCGTTCTTGTTTCTGAGTGTATATATTTACTTGAGAGGACTGTGTGTGTGTGTATGTGTGTATGTTTTGAAATGTCACCTATTGATATATTTAGCAATATTGCACCACTGATACTGCAACACTTATGAGTGCACCTTTCTGACTGAGTGAGTCTGAGAAGGACTTTACTGTGTTACGACATATCAGCTGTGATGTTTCATTCTTAACTGTGTTGTTCCCTGTCTTTCAGAGTAAAGAACAGCAACTCCAGGCCTTAAACCAAAGTAACAAAGTGTTCCTGTACTGCGCCTTCCTGGACTACAGGTGGGTTTTTATTTTATTTTTATTTTTTATTTTTTTCAGAAAAACTTATGAAAACTTAATGCATCGTTTTAACAGTACTTTAATATAAAAGTCTTATCCAATTAACAGTTTTATGGTAGCTTTTTTACATGCTGTTTCTGTTAAAACTCTTAAAATTACAGCATGAGACTCATGTTTACATTTTTAGATATTTTTATGATATCTTTCACTTTATTTATGGTCTTTTATGTTTCTCTTTGAGTGTTTCCCAACTTTCATCCTCAGTGTCACTGTTCAGAGATATTTATGCAGTCCTTCCTGTATATTCTCTCTCTCCCATCTATCTCTCTCCATCTGTCATTTTAAGTCCTGTGAAAGCTTGTCAGCAAGTGCTTTAATATATCAATGTGTGTGTCTTATATTTATGTCCCACTGTTATCCCATTACCTATGTAAGGGCCAGAAATAGGTTACATTTATAACATTTAGCACATATACAGGTGCATCTCAGTAAATTAGAATGTCGTGGAAAAGTTCATTTATTTCAGTAATTCAACTCAAATTGTGACACTCGTATATTAAATAAATTCTATGTACACAGACTGAAGTAGTTTAAGTCTTTGGGTCTTTTAATGGTGATGATTTTGGCTTACATTTAACAAAAACCCACCAATTCACTATCTCAACAAATTAGAATACTTCACAAGACCAATAATAAAAAAAAAATTGTGAATTGTTGGCCTTCTGGAAAGTATGTTCATTTACTGTACATGTACTCAATACTTGGTAGGGGCTCCTTTTGCTTTAATTACTGCCTCAATTCGGCGTGGCATGGAGGTGATCAGTTTGTGGCACTGCTGAGGTGGTATGGAAGCCCAGGTTTCTTTGACAGTGGCCTTCAGCTCATCTGCATTTTTTGGTCTCTTGTTTCTAATTTTCCTCTTGACAATACCCCATAGATTCTCTATAGGGTTCAGGTCTGGTGAGTTTGCTGGCCAGTCAAGCAGTACATCGAATATTTAAAGAATAGAATTTGCAGTCTTGTCATTTTTCCTGCAGTCCAATCCAATCTTTGTCTTCCAATTCATCATTCAACCATGACATTTAGAAAATATGAAAGTCTGTTTGTAATAAAAAGCAATTTTAAACCATAATAGTTATACCCGAAAAATCACTTAAAGCCAATAAACGAAGCCAATTCTTAGGATCATGTGAAAAATTTGAATAATTTGAAATGGAGCATGTTTGATTTGGATTGAGACTTTCTTGTCTTCTCTCTCTCTCATTCTTTTTCATGCTCATTCACTCTTTCTCCCATGTGGGCATTTAATAAATGACTGTATTTATAATGGAATGATGAAGCTGGAATATTTGCTCTCACTGAGATTAATGGGGTCTTGCATTAGTTTTGATTTAATTTAGATCTGATTTGATTAATAACTCGCTGGTAATTCCATTAACGCTGGGTGAGGGTGTGAATGTGTATGGTTTCAATATAAACAATGAATAACTCCAGCAACTGTAATGCTCAATTAAACCTGTATGTATGTGTGTGTTTCAGCTCCAAGGAGGGTGTGTGGTCCAATGAGGGGTGTGTGAGAGCTGATGGAAACCTGTCCTTCTCTATTTGCTTGTGTAACCATCTGACAAACTTCGCCATCCTTATGCAAGTGGTTCCCATGGAGGTGAGGCTCTCTCAGTGTTGCTCTGTCTGGTGCTAGTTTTATTTTTTGCTATAGATGAATTATTATTCGTCTTGCTTACTTTGGCTAAATATTAATTTGATTCAAATAATTCAAGAACTTTGTAGCTCATTGTGTGTGGTTTTAGGTTTTACACAATTCTGTCTACATCCTCCATGGAACATTAAACTGATTAGTGTGACAGTAAAGACTTTTATGTTACTATTTCAAATAAATGCTGTCCCTTTAGACTAGAAAAATCTTATCGACCACAGACCATAGTACACTTTTTTTTTTTTTTTTAATTTTCATATTCTTTTTTTTTTTTTTTTTTTTTTTTACAGTTTTGCAAATTACATTGTTAGGAATAACACATTTTACTGCTTTACTGTTCTATTTAGCCGCTTTCATTATTATTGATTCTGCAAAATTTCACCATGAGAGCCCCATTTTAAGATTAAAAAAACAAGCATTCAGCATCAAAAAACACATTTTGAGACCTCTGTGATTTTCTCCATTCCATCTGTTATGAATGCAAGAATGCATTCAATCTGAATGGCCCATTTTAAATGAAAGCATGCAATTTATTTCTAATTTTGATGCAAATCGGAGAATCGAATCCTGCCACAGAGATATGCACAAGCAGACATTGACATCTCTGCATATTTACCTTTTTGCGTAAGAACATTTCTTTGAGATAGAAACCTTTTGTAACCATAGTAATCACTGTCACTTTTCATCAGTTTAATGCATCCTTGTTGAATAAAAGTATGTAAATATATTTCTTTAAAAAAAAAATCGTACTGACCCCGCACTTGAGCAGTAGTGTTAGTATAACTTATGAATATTATGTAGAATATTAATTTAAAATTGGACCATGTTTCTTGTGGGGGTTTTTCTGATGAGGCACTATACTGCAACATTATTCTAATCAAAAAACGACTTATTTACTCATTCGGTCTGACTTACTAAGCTTATCTAAGCTGTATATGTCAAGAAATATGCACAGTGAACCCTGACGTTAGTGGAATTTCTCAGGATTCCTTGATTGAGCATGTAGGTCATTTCCCAGCAGGGATCTCTGAAAACACCAAGGCACTGCGATGAATGCGATGCTAACTGTGTTTCTCGTCTTCAGCGAGCCAACAGCATGCAGGGCTTGAGGTTTTGATTGGCCAAGACTCTCAGTAAATCAGCAGCAGAGCTTTAAGCGAGAAGACAATTTGGATGTAGTTAAGACACTTCTCCAAGGGTGACGTGCTGGATTTTGTTTCAAGTTCATTCGAAACCTGTCGTTGTGTGTGAAAGCGTCTCGAGAGAGGCCGCTGGTCACAGGCTGCCAGTGCGGGTCGAAGACTGGGCTCTTTTTGGGCGGACAGATGGATTGTCATTTGTCAGAGGAAGCTTGTAAATAACATCTGCCTTTGAAATACTGAACGACAGGCACAGCTTGATATTTTGGTAACCCTTGTCCTGTTGATTTATTTAAAGAGAGCTGAAGGGCGAATTTAACTCAGGCTAAAGACCCTGTCAGCAACAACTACTCGCAAAGTAGGGACATGTTTGTGAAGAGACATATTGCTTCACACGAAGGCAGATTGCCATTTGCCAGATCCGTGCACAAGCCAAACCGAGGCACCCAGGTGCAGCTTGGCTCTTCTGCGTCTATCATCTGCATGTGTTTGTTGAGAAAATCTGTCCTCGCTCAGTCATGTAATCATCTCCTCTGGAGCTTTGATGTTAATATCCGCCTCTGCCTGGGCCTCAATTAGCGGCTCACCTCAATACTTCAAGCCTGGAGGAGATCGTGCTTTCTCCACCGCTCCGCAGATCCTCGATATTCTGGGCCCACGATAATCACAAGGCAGGAAACGGAGTTAATGTACGATCGAACCCACGCACGGAAATAGAATTATGGGGGAAAACAACTGCCAATGGGTCCGGCGTGCAGACGCAACACTGAGTACCAATTACTGGCACTGGGTCAGAGGAGCCGTAACAATACAGCTCTATATCCTGACGGATGTTCGGGAATAAATCTGTTCGCTCTTTACCAACAGATGCTTAAGGTGTCGTAGCATGGAAATCTTTCCACCTGTAGTGTTAGTCAAGGGTTTTTGCGCCAAAAACAGTGATGCTTTCTTTTTTATCACCATTTTACACTCTCGCTCTACTTACAAAATCGAGTTGTTTTGTATCATTTATGAAACAACCAGTACTTAAAAGCGCATATTAAATTGGCCAAGCCGTGAATTCAGCAAATGTTTTAGTAGTAATATTTTTTGTTTGATTGTTCACTAAGGCTGCGTTTATTTGATCAAAATACTGTAAAAACAATAATATTGTGAAATAATACTACAATTTAAAATAACTTTTTTCTATTATAATTATTTTATAATTTATTCTTATGATGCCAAGCAGAATTTTCAGCATCATTACTCCAGTCTTCAGTGTCACATGATCCTTTAGAAATCATTCCATTATGCCGATTTGCTGCTCAACAAACATGTCTTATTATTATCAAATAATTAGTGTTTAGCTGATTAGTGTTTTTATGAAAACTGCAGTACATTTTTTTTCAGGAATCTTTGTTGAACTGAATGTTCAAATCTTATTTTTCTTTACTTTTTTATTAAAATTGAAACTTACATTTTAAAAGTCTTTACTGTCACTTTTTGTTTAATTTAATGCATTGTTTCTGAATAAAAGTATTAATTTCCTTAATTTGTATTATTGACTCAAATCTTTTTAACAGTTAGTGTATAACAGGTTCCAGAAAAGAGAAATATTGAGGATTAATGTGTATAGAGACTGAATACAGAGATAGTTGTATGCATAAAGGCTGTTACTGTTCATCTTTTTTAACCGTCGGTCTACCATGTCTGTGAATAGTTAGTGCTCTTTATGAAAAAAAATAAAAATAAATAAAAAAGCTTGTTCCAAGAATTGACTTGATTGATTGTCAGACTCATGCAGGTTTGTTCTGATGAAATTATCTTGAAATTGCCAAGTCATTTAATATTATGCGAACATCAGTCCCTGTGCAGCTGGTCATCAGTAACCTTTGACTTTACAATCAGTGGACTGTTGCTGTGGTATTCAGTGTTTCTTATTTGTAGTAACACTGAGGGTTTTCAACCCCCTTCAGTGCTGTACACTAGACTAACTTAACACTAGACATTTTCATCATCTCATTGCCTGTGCTGTCATGTTTGTCTCCACCTCAGCTCTCAAAGGCCCACAAGGTGGCGCTATCCACCATTAGCTACATCGGCTGCTCTATCTCTATTTTCTGCCTGGCAATTACACTGGTCACCTTTGCTGTCCTGTCGTAAGTATCCCACAATGCTCTGTGAACATGCATGATTTTAATCTACTATTTAAACATGGTCAAAAATGTTTTATTCACATTGCTAAACTTCTCATTTTCTTTTTGATTTATTAAATATAATCATTTGCAATTTCAATGAATTGAACACTAAAAGCTTTTAATGTTTCTGCATCATTACTATTAAAAAATGTATACTTTTTTTTACTGTGCATACAGGTCGGTTAGCACCATCCGTAATCAGCGTTACCATATTCATGCAAACTTGGCATTTGCGATCTTAGTTGCTCAGATCCTTCTGCTCATCAGTTTCTGCTTCAATCCCAGCACGGTGAGTCCATCTAACACTCTAACACCCTCCGTTGTCCGACACAAATAACAGATAACATAATAATAAGAACTGTATATTCTTCAATTACAAATAATAGTTGCATAGGGAAAATAAAAAGATTTTACATTGATTTCATGTATTTTTGTTTTAGTTTTTTTAGAATTTGCATTTAGATTACTTTAATATCTTATAATAATAATTCCTTAATAATTCTAATAATAATAATATTTAAATAATAATTTATTAATTTAAATACTTTTAAGTCATCCTTGTCATATCATTAAGTCCAGTATTATTTTAGTATTATTTATATACTATTATATTTTTTCTTAATATAGGGCTTCTTTTTTTAAATCTAAATTATTTATACTCAATTTTCATTTTAGTACATTTTTTGTCAGTTTTGTCATGTACTTTTTTAATGTTATTAATCAGGTTTAATTTAGTTTATTTTAGTTTTAGCTCAGTTTTAGTTTTTAGTTTTTTTCCTGTTAGTAATTTTAGTGCTTTAACTTGCACTAAAATTGTAGCATTGGTTACTAACTGAAAAAAGTTTAGGTTTTCCATCTAACATTTATATTTTATTTTATTTCAGCTTCATTTTAAAGTTTTAGTTCAAAAATAATAATTAACAAAAATAATTTTCGTTCTAGTTTTAGTTAATGATAATAACCCTAATTAAGTCATCCTTGTTAAGAGTACGGTGGCCCAGCAGTGCACAACACAACAAAATCTCCACAACACAACAAAATTAGCACAACACAATGGAAACAAGCTGCAACACAGCGAAATTAGCACAACACAATGGAAAAAAGCCACAACATGGCGGAAACAAGCCGCAACACAACAAAATTAACACAAAACAAACCACAACACAACGGAAACAAATCGCAACGACAAAATTAGCATAACACAACGGAAACAATTCACAACACAGTGGAAACAAGCCACAACACAATGAAATTAGCACAATGGAAAAAAGGCACAACACAACGAAATTAGCACAATTAGTGCTGTGTTGTGGTGATTTCGTTGTGTTGTGCACTACTGGGCCACTGTATAGGAGCCACTGTAGAGTGCAGTTCTGCACTAAAACAACAGAGAAAATTTTTTTACTAAAATAAAAATGAGAGTATCCACACAAATATTGTTGGAAGAAGCTTGATTATGAAATGTTCGAATTAAATCGACATCTCATTTACAATACGTGATTGTGTTTAATCGTGTTTGTTGTTTAATGGTGATTATTGTATCATCATCAGTATCAGAACCAGCATGTTGTCATTACATAAAGAAATCTAATAAGGTGGAAAGAGCCGATGACTCCACTAATCTCCTAACATGCCTCCGGCATTACGGACAGATTCATTTGATACTCCGTTAATTTGATTGTGCTTCCTCTGTCTGAGCACTTGGCTGAAATCTTGCTATGTTAATGTCAGTGTTGAGATCACTGAGCTCAACCACTCTGTCGCCCGTATGTTTATTTTAACAGCATGTGTTACATTAGCTAAGATGAACAAAATAGATCCGTTTTCGGTACAGTGCATTTTGTCTAGACGCTTGTCCTGATCTGAAAGGCCGCAGCAAATGAAACTGTCCTCTCTCTCCCAGCTCCCGTGTAAGATCATGGCCGTATTGCTGCATTTCTTCTTCCTGTGTGCGTTCGCCTGGATGCTGGTGGAAGGGCTGCATCTCTATAGCATGGTGGTCAAGGTGTTCGGCTCAGAGGGCAGCAAGCACTTTTATTACTATGCAATCGGATGGGGTGAGTACAACATCTTGCAGACTGGTTCTGAGCGCTAGGTGTGGAGAATGCAGCAGACCACCACAATCTGCCATACTTTATTGGCACTCTATGGCATCACTGATTCATATGCGTACTCGACATTTTTTCAGTGGCACTTTTTAGTGAATTTGTTCCTTGTATACACACACATTCATATAAACTACACACTTCATCACACACAAACAAGCTTGAACTGACTTACAAATCATCACACGCTGAGAAGAAAACATCAGATCAGTTTCATTTGCCTTAAACGACCCGATTCAGCGTAATGCACAAACCCAAGAGAGTCAAATGAGGTTGTCCCATGGCAGGCATTAGAGAGAGATCAGGCACCTCCCTCAGCCATGACTGATGTGGCAGTGTCGTTGAAAAGGGGAGGAAAATAAGAAATTTGTGCGCTACAGTCTGTCTGAGATGTCAGTAGATTAAAGGACATAAAATCTTCAGTGGGTCATCGATAATGATGCCGTCACTGTTATTAATTGACCTGATCTCAAATGTGCATATGTGATAATAGACAACATGTGCTCTCTCGCTCTTTTGAGAACAGTTTATAATCAGCCTTTTTTTTCCCCCTCACATAAAATGACATTGCCAGAGCTACAAGGGGCCTTGAAGTAAATCAATATACACATTTATTAGTACATGCAAAGTTGGCATCATGATAACTGAAGGTGTTTTCCATTATTACATATGATAAAGTGTTGAATAAATAGACCTGTTTATTTGTATCCATAGTGACACGGGTGATAGGCTCAGTGTGGATGAAGAAAACAGGCTTTGTTAAACTTAAGTCATTACTTCAGACTGAAGTCTACTCCCTTTCTAAAAGCCTTCGGCACAGCCAGGCTGCTCTTTATTTATGGTGGCACGAAACAACCAGCTACAGTCCAAACGTTCTTATTTTAGTTCCTACGACATAATCTGAAAACTTCTATGCTGGGTTTTACAACAAGGTATTTTTAGCTCCAATACCGTTCCAGGTTTTTTCCCACAAACATTTGTCTTTTTGCACGTCATTCATATATAACAAAAACATATGGTTAGAGGGAGAGAGGGATTTGACAACACTACTAAGCTATTAACTCTTTATACTTTATACTATTTAATATAGTATATATAGTGAATTATTATTACAATTTAAAATAAAATAGATGTTTTCTATTTTAATATATTTTAAAATGTAATATATTCCTGTGATGGCAAAGCTAAATTTTCAGCATCATTCCTCCAGTCTTCCGTGACACATGATCCTTCAGAAATCATTCTAATGTGCTGATTTGGTTAACATTTCTTATCATTATCAATGCTGAAAACTGTTTATTTAAGTAGCAGTTTATTTAAAATAGAAATCTTGTGTAACAAAGTAAAAGTCTGTCACTTTTGATCAGTTTAATGCATCCTTGCTGAATAATAGTATTAATGTATTTTTTGTCCAAATTTCAAGTTGTATACATTAAGATTGTGAAATAGTATATTTAAAAAATTACATTAACATTATTTAATAAATGATATGTTACCATATTTATTAGTGTGTATATTTGCATTTCTCACTATTTTTTAACCAAATTATCTTTTTGCAGATAATGTCACAAATTTTTTAACCAAATTATCTTTTTGCAGACAATGTGACAAATGAGTTATTAAAAGTTTGTAAATAGTCTGTTTATAATAATTATACCTGCATTACAAAGAAATGTGGTTTGAAGTACTTTTCAATTAAGTATAAGATATCAGGGCACTGCTATCACTGTTTGAAATTGTTACTGATGAAACTTTCCTCTAAAACTGTTCACGTCTTTACTCAGGATGTCCTTTGGTCATATGTGTGGTGTCTATGACCTCGTCACTAAACAGCTATGGAGAGGCTGGCAAGTAAGTTACCATGGGTCATGGCAAAATCCAGTTTGAGGAGAAAAGATGACTTGTCTTGCGTCATTTGTCCATCTTGTTTTGTATTTCTCAGTTGCTGGCTGTCTCTGAAGAATGGGGTGATTTGGGCTTTTGTAGCCCCTGCTCTGTTTGTTATAATGGTAAGCAGCTGTTAATAAGGTGTGTGTAATGCACTACATTAGATGAGCATGACAGGAACACTTTTAATGTTGTAATCTCTGCCATCCAGGTGAACATTGGCATTTTGATAGCTGTGACACGGATCATATCCAGGATCAGCGCTGAAAACTACAAGGTTCACGGAGACGCCAACTCTGTTAAGTGAGTTTATCTGCTGTCATGATTGTAGTATCAGCCATCGTGCGTTTGCTTTTTTTTCATATGCGTCATTGTCTTTCTAGGCTTACGACTAAAGCGGTGGCGGTACTCTTGCCCATCCTGGGCATATCGTGGATCTTTGGGGTTCTGGCGGTGAATGACCACTCCCTGCTTTTCCAGTACATGTTTGCAGTGTTTAACTCACTACAGGTCAGGCATCACTACTGTGTAACATAACAGTTTCACCAGCAAGCTCATTGATTTTCACTTTCAGTTTACAGCCTCCAGAGTCAATAGCGCCATCGCCTAACAATGACAGCTTTAAAAAAAATATGGGACATAACAATGTTTGAAATGACTTTGGACCTGGACTGACTTGTAAGAACTTTTGCAGATGTGAATTGGAGCGCTTTCACAACATTTAGTGTTATCTGTTGTTTTTCTTTTATTCCTCAAAGGGGTTCTTCATATTCCTGTTTCACTGTCTGCTAAACTCCGAGGTAAGAGTGTGTTTGTGCAGCTGTGTCAGAAGTCTGTGTTGTATGTCGGGGAAAATGTCTGACGTAGCCGCAGCAAAGAGAACACTGCTGTAAATGATAGAGTTAAAGTGTGATCGCCATCTAGTGATGTTAATTTGATACTGCATTATGTGAATGCATTTATAGAGAGAGACTTTAAAACTATTGCAATGTCGTTTCCATATTAAAACCAGAGTGTATCAGTCATGCTGTTTGTTAACAGGTTTCATGTCTTGTTACTCCTCTACAGGTGAGGGCTGCTTTCAAACACAAAACCAAAGTGTGGACTTTAACCAGCAGCTCAATCCGCAACATCAACGTCAAACCTTTCAACTCCGACATAGTGAGTAATTCCAGTTCTTTTCATTTTTACATTTGTATTGTTCATGACCAGTGAATTTAAACACACACATGACATGAATGTTTTTGGGAAATGATTTGCATATTATGTACAATAAAACACATTATAGTTTAAATCTATATTAAATGCAGTTAGTTGAACTTGAGAGTGCATTGTCAACCCACTGAAGTAGAACTTGAGTTCATCTTTTTGTAATTTTATAATTACTTCTGTTTACTTCTATTTGAAATGTGGATAATGATGTGGATAATGTGCACTGCCAAATGTACTGACAAGCATTTATGGTAAACTAAAATGTTCTTAAATAGCATTCCTAATAAAACTTGCATCACGTATTTAAATATATTTGTAATTGCACTAGGGCTGTCAAATCGATTAATCGTGATTAATTAATTGCATCAAAAATAAAAGTTTGTTTACATAATATATGTGTAAATCACACATTTTTTGATGAAGTTGCAGTTTAGAACATAAAAAGCTAACTTTTATTATAATATAACACACCACAGTACACTTAATCACATACTTTACAAGTGCTTTAGTATTCGTATTTTAGTAAGTGCTTTTAGTTAGTCAACTACTTCTTTAAAGCATGACAAAAGATTACGAGTAAACATAATAGGAGTACTTAAAAGTCAAACTTGTAAGTTTACATTATTGCACAATACACTTTAAGTGACTTTTTTTTTAATCATTATTATATTAACTGCAAGTGAGGTCATTTAAAAATTTATTTTTTTATTTTAAGTATACTACCAAGTGCACATTCAATACAAGTAAGCACACTTCTTTTTCACAAGGGTACTGGGACCCAAGCCTGTATTAATCTGGTTTTCTTTTGCAGATGAATGGCAACAAGGGCGGTGTGACTCCCACAAAGATGAACACATGGGACAAAAGCACCAACTCAGCCAACCGCATAGATTTGTCAGCAGTATAATGGCTTCTGGTCCAAAAAGAGCAAGTGGACAACAGCATAGCATCTCTTATAGATCATGTGCCTTTCTATATCACATTTTAAATGGACTTCATATGATAAAATAGCTACAAACTCTTGCAGCTGATTGTAGAATAGTTAACTCACAACACAAAGTTCTCTGATGTCATTTCCTCCTGCTGATGATCTCTCTAACACAAACATTGGATGAAGACACACTGCGCGTTGATGGGATGAAAGAGTTCATGGTTTGCTAATAATGTGGTGTGCTGAGGAAAACACACTAACTCTCACAGACAGGAGACTCTCCTGAGATACAGTACCTGTACTGTAACAGTGTTTCCTTGCTTTGATTTTTTTGGACAACACACTAGACCTGTGCTACATTTGGACCACTGTTTGGCCGTCCTTTAGGAATCATCAAATACAAAGTCTGGAGTGTCTCAGCTTTAATGAGAACACTTTTTTGCAACCAACCCGAGTGAAGTAGCAGCTTCTATTAATCCATGTCCATCTGTCCATCGGCTATGGCTTAGAATTCGACCTGGAAGAGAAGTACAATACTGGCGAAATTCTCTGGAGATCTTCCTCATTGTTGTATTGTTCCTCAATCTAGTATTGTAAATGGGACTTGTGTCTCAGTTACTGAACACCTAATTCATGCACAGTGCCAAATAGCTTTCTCATGTCATGATATATATCAGTTTGCGTCATTTCATAAAGGTGGACACTTTTGTGATGTATATAGCACAGACACATACAGCCGTGCGTAATTGTGGAATTGCGTAATTGTCTGTAATTGTGCCATCATAGACATATTTATTGGTACCAAAACAGGTCAGTGCATTATTAACGTGTGAACATATACAGTATATCTTTAAATTATTGTCGTCATCGTCGTCATGTTCCAACAAGACTTTGATACTGCTTGAAAGATCTTCTTATTCAGTATCATAATACTTATTTTCTCAACATTATAGCTTAATCAGCTATTGTATGTAGTTTATGAGTGAATGTCTTAGTGTTGATGCTCTCCGCCAAGAACAAATCGCAGAAGATACTTTGTTTTAGTACCAAAGTTTCAAGAGAGTTTCTCCCAAATGAACATTTAAAGGCCAAGTGCACTTCTTGTCTGATTGTTATTTAATATTTGAAAATAACTGTTTATGCAGTGTCTCTCAATCAAGTGTGTCTTTAACCCATTCATGTGATGTTTTGCTTTTGAAAATGTTGACAATATTATCAGCAGGAACATAGAGTGATATAGTACACCATATAAGATTGGATTTACACATTTTCAGATTACACATGCTTCAGAGGTATTAAATATGATCTCAGAACTCACACACAAATGGCCATAGCAGTGTTTTGAGATGATGCTGTAAAGTATAAAGTGATTTTAAAGAGAAAGTGCCTTAGCTCTACAAATTCCAGTAAAGAGTGTTGTTCTTAAGTTTATAATGTGAGAAATCTTTCTGTGAAGTTTTTATTTTTATTCTGTTTCCTTGATTTATTCTGTTCTAATGCAAATAGATTTTTTCACAGTTCTCTTTTATGCAAAATAAAACTTTTATTTAAGTCTGAAAACCGTACTGTGATATGACATACATGCGTTGTACATATTTGTAAGTCCTATATTCCTGCACATCTCTTTTATAAGAGTGTCATTTATAAGAGGTCTGATTCTTAAGACAGACCTTGTCTGTGTTTAATTTTTAGGGTAAATCTGCGGAATTGATTTAATATAACCAAAATATTTACAAACTGCAGAAATCTATGGGCACAGGCTCTGTCACTGTTCGTTTCAAACATCATTTTCCTGATGTGAATTCCTAACAAACCCTTCCCATAATGCTGACTGTTGATTTACCAAGAGGATGGGGATATATGATGGATATTGATGAGGTTATTAAATGTGTTTTCTGAGTTTATGTTGGACAGAACCCCCTCTGTGAGTCCTTCATTAGGCTTTACTGTGAAGAAGGATTTCATATGTACAGTGAGGCATTGAAACCGTACCCATGCTGATTGTCTTCACATGTAAAATAAAAGCTCATGACATTTTCATTGTATTTGCCACATTATATTTTAATGAAAGGCATTATGTAATATGCCCAAATTGAATAAAATGGTCTCTTTAGACATTGCTGCGTTTGAGTTTTAATTTGCCGTGTTATGTCTTAAAAACATTACCATTTCCTTCTGCTTAAGCTTTGAGAATTCAACAGTACAAATTCACCGATAATCCCACTCAGACAGAGACGATTTCCAGGGTTTTTAGATTTCAAAAGTGTTTTTCTTTTCCTTCTCAGAAATTCTATTTTAACTTCTGTTACCTCAGGAGGATGATGGTGGTCGTGTATGATTAAAAGTATAATTAAAACGCTTGGGACAATATTATTGCAATTTACAATAATAGGCTACATCTTAAAATGTATTCCTGTGGTGGCAAAGCTGAATTTTCAGCATCATTACAGTCTTCAGTGTCACATGACCCTTCAGAAATCATTTTAATATGATTATTTACTCTTCAATAAACATTTTTTATTATTATCATGTGCTGCTTAATATTTTTCAAACTTACTGACACTAAACATCTGAACGGTAGTGTATCTAATACGTTATGAACAGTGTTATAACCAGTGTTGGGGCGAGTTACGTAATCAGATTACTTTTTTCAAGTAACTAGTAAAGTAAGGCATTACTTTTTAATTTACAAGAGAATATCTCAGTTACTTTTTCAAATAAGTAACGCAAGTTACTTTTTTCCCCCAATGTATTGATTGACAGCTCTCCTGTCCCCATGTTGAGAGAAATCACAAGATGTTACTGTAGTTCTAAAATAAATATGAATATGCATTAATTCATCTCACTCACAAAAAAACAGATTCAGTATTCCTCAAAATGAATACAAAAATGCAACTCAGAATATGGCGCAAACCTTCAATATTTAAATGTTAAACAACACAAATATGCTTTATGTATTTAATCCCATTCTATTAACCAATGTCTTTACTTCTGACCTTCGATGATCCAGTTCAACCATACTAATAAGCACAAATTACTCTAGACAAACATTTGTGTCTTTTTTTTTTTATAGCTGAAGGGTTGAAATGTCTTCTTCTGCATTCTACTGTACGGACGTAAATGTACTTTCCCTTCAGCCTGAGGCTTATTCACTTCACTTTTGGTGTGAAAAGGCTTTTATATTTGCCAAAAATAGAACTTTTTATTTTAAAAACAAACAAGCAAGCCCTTTCCAGATTTGAAAAGTAACGCAAAAGTAACGTAACGCATTACTTTCCATAAAAAGTAACTAAGTACCGTAATTGGTTGCTTTTTTATATAGAGTAACGCAATATTGTAATGCATTACTTTTAAAAGTAACTTTCCCCAACACTGGTTATAACACCCACAGAACTCAGCATGGTAATGAGTGAAGAAAGAAACAGACCGCAGACAGTAGAATGAAAAACAAACAGACAGGACTGAACATTAGTCTCATAACGTTTGCTGCTTTTTTCGCCAAGACAGGACTGGAGAGAATGACGCTTGTTCTGCAGGAAGTGTCTTCAAGGCTCATGTCAGAGTTGGGGATACACATTAAAAAGCTCTTACATGCTCGATGTCTCATAGATTTGGCCGGTTACAGCGTGACCGGGTGGAGGACGGTTGAGATACAAAAGCAGATTATGCAGACTCGTTGATTACGTTCACTGCAGATGACAGATGAAGCTCCCAAGCGGCTCTTTCTAATGTACGTTTAGAGGAGTGCTGCTTATCAGCCACACGTGTTTTATGGCCAGAAGGGGAGCAGAATATGAATAATGATCGACCAGTATCATATATCATTAGGTTTGGGGTGGAGGTGTTTATATGCCAAACGTTCAATTTAATATTGTGAATGATATAATAACCCAGGCAGAGTGCTCACATAATGCTCTTATTCATTCAGTGATGTAAACATTATGTGGCGTCCAAAAGAGAAGACAATGACCAGGACTCCTTAATGTGATTTACTGGAAAAACGGCATGGAAAACTGTTCCTGATCCTGAAGTGGATCATTTGGGAATGCTGCCTCTTTTTAATGAACTCCTTACGGACTAAATTTCCTGTTACATGGATAAGGAAAAGATGCCATCAGTCTAATTCGTTCCAATTAAAACAAAAAGGCAGAGCAAAAACAACTAAAAACTACATTTCTAACTAGTCATACATTTCACAAACCTAGGATTGTCTAGCCTGTCATTTAAATAGGCTTTAACAACACCGATATCTTAATAATAGGCTACATCTTTTTATCTTAAGACTGATAAATCACGATATCATACAACTTTTGGCTAGTAGCTACATGATTATCTATCAAAACGTAATGTTCAATCTCTGACTTGTTTCCAGAGAGTTCGGCGCTGCAAGAGTTTATGAGTTTTGAATTGTTTTTAGGCTACATTGCATTTACTGTGACTAGTGTGTGCGAGTGTATTAGTTCAATTTGACCACAAGAGGGCAATGTTGCCATGTCTAGATGGGCATCTTCTGGACTCGTGCTTCACAGGCAGTTGCGCTTTTTGTGTTATTTCATTATTCGATCACTTGAGGATGGCTGTTAGATTTGTATGATCTTCTGACTTCGTCTTACTCTGTGATGTTGTGTAACTTTCTCATTTGCAAACAGACAATATAATTTAAATAAGTATGGGCACTTGGACAGGTTATATAACATTTGTTACCATGTACATTGGCTACATGCATACATACAAACATATATACATAGATAAATAAATAAATAGGTTTATTTATGGATTTGAATAGAATATAACAGGTTAATTATTCATTCATTTGACTGTTTTTAATCTGTAATTTATTAATTATGATAATGGTGTTAATGTACATCATGATATAGGCTATTAATAATAATGAATAATTGCTGTTAAATTATTGTTGTTATTATTATTCATTTTAATACTAGTAGTAGTAGTGGTGGTGGTAGTATTAGTAGTATATTAACTAATTGGCCAAAAGTTTGGAATAATCCAGATTTGTGTTCATGTTTTGAAAGAAGTCTCTTCTGCTCACCAAGGCTTAATTTATTTGATTCAAATACATGAAAACAATAATATTGTAAAACAGTATTACAACTTAAAGGAACTGTTTTGTATTTTAAAATATTGGAAGAATATAATTTGTCCCTGTGATGGCAGAGCTGAATTACTCCAGTCTTCAGGGTCACATGATCCTTCAGTTGCTGCTTCTTAATGTTTTCTTGTTTCGTTTTGAATGGTTGTGTAAGTTAGATTTTTAAATAGAGAGAGAGAGAAATGTATACTTTTATTCAGCAAGGATTCATTAACTTGATATTTGAGCTAGGCCTGTCTGTTCATCAACGAATCTTGATAAATAAAGTGTCACAGTTTCTACCAAAATATTAAGCAGCAAAAGCTGTTTTCAACATTAATAATAATAATAATAATTCATTACATTTATATAGCTCTTTTCTAGGCTCTCAAAGCGCTTTACATTGTGAGGTGGGATCTCTTCATCCACCACCAGAGGTGGACAGTAACTAAGTACATTTACTTGAGTATTGTACTTAAGTACACTTTTTGAGTATCTGTACTTTACTTGAGTATTATCTGACAGTATAGTGTCCCCGTAACTACACTGGGGCATTAGGACCCACACAGACCACAGGGTGAGCACCCCCTGCTGGCCTCACTAACACCTCTTCCAGCAGCAACCTAGTTTTCCCAGGAGGTCTCCCATCCAGGTACTGACCAGGCTCAACCCTGCTTAGCTTCAGTGGGCGACCAGTCTCGGGCTGCAGGGTGATATGGCTGCCGACATTGATAATAATAAAAGTTTCTTGAGCACCAAATCATATAATAGCATATAAGAATGATTTCTGGAGGATCATGCGACACTGAAGACTGTCTGCTGGATATTCAGCTTTGCATCACAGGAATAAATTACATTTTAAAATATATGACAAAAGTAAACATTTAAAATTGTAATAATATTTTACAATATTACTGTTTTGTACTGTATTTTTGATTAAGCATATATAGCCTTGAGCATAAGAAACTTTTGACCAGTAGTGTGTATTTGATATTTGTCCACAACATCAGCAGCTCACGAGGGTTACATATAGACCCGGCGGCTCCTCGACATGCGCATGCGCACATTAAGCCACTGGCGTGTGGACAGAGCGCTAGTGCGCATGCGTGTAATGCACACGCAAGTTTCAAGCTTTGTTTGGCAAGTGACGACCAAAACAGCGCAGAGTATACGTCTCTGAACCCGAGTCTGTTTCTGACAGTCGCCGAATCTAATTTAGTACACTTTTGTACGCTTGGTGACATACTTTTGAACAAAGGGTTAACATAATACGATCAAGATGACAGTGACTTCGTTTTTATTAACAAGGTAGCGAATGCCGATCATGACCGAAGTGTCAGATTGTTTGGGTGCAAAGCAGCGGATGGGAAGCGACAGACGGGTCCAGCTGGTCCTGTGCTGGGCGCACACACAGATCCCTCACACCCTGACCTCTCGCCTGTGGATTTACTGAGCAGATTTAAAGTCTATACGCGATGGAAAGCGTTGGAAAGTACGAGTTCAGCAGGAAGGACTTGATAGGACACGGCGCTTTTGCTGTGGTGTTCAAAGGAAGACACAGACAGGTAACGCTAAGATGTACATTTCGGAATGTTGACGCCAGTTAAGCTGTATACTGCGGCTTTTTATGTGTCGCAACGTAAATCGATGTCTTTATTCACAGAAACATGATTTTGAAGTGGCGGTGAAATGCATTAACAAGAAGAACCTCGCCAAATCACAGTCGCTCCTAGGAAAAGAAATCAGGATATTAAAGGTGAGCTTCCTAGTTACACTTTGGGTGCGTTTGCGTACGCACTAATTTGCTTGCTATACTTTTAATGTTATCTACTTCATTTAAATGAACGGTTTTGTTTGTCTATATCCGCAGATAGATAGTGAACAGTGCGAAACTCGACTTCTTGCTATCTGAAAGGCTATTTCTATAAACAGTGTAAAGGGTTTAGCAAATATCACCAGCTCCTTATAGAAGCAATTGCATTGACTTCTGCTCACTAATATAGTGAATGTGT